CTCTGTGTAGCTCAAAAACTTGTCCCTCTCACTAACAGAAATTGGTCCAGTAAAAGATCTCACCTCATCCACTTTGGGTATGTCTATACTTACCCGCTGGTTCGGCGGCAAGCAATCGATCTTCTGGGATCGATTTATCGCGTCCTGTCTAGATAAATCGATCCCGGAAGTGCTCGCCGTCGACGCCGGTAATCCTGCTCCGCGAGAGGAGTAGGCGGAGTCGACGGGGGAGCCTGCCTGCCGCGTGTGGACCTGTGGTAAGTACCTTTAAGTTCGAATTAAGATACTTCGACTTCAGCTACGTTATTCACGTAGCTGAAGTTGCGTATCTTAGTTCTAACTGGGGGCTTAGTGTGGACCAGCCCTTTGTCTCTTTTAAATAATGTGACAGCACAGGGGATTGTATAAAATCATGTGTCCCTGTAGCTAAACCCCATCACCCTGGTGCCTTTCAAGTGTTCATAGTAATAAGTTCAATAACAGATTTGCAGACCTTTGACATCTCTACTTAAAAATGACCTGACAACTTTCCAACAACTGATGAAAAGTGCTTTTTTGAAATGTTCTTTATAAAATAGGCCCCTCCCATATGATTTCATATTCTAAAGTTTGTCTTTAAGTTTAAACTAATATTTACTGAAACTTCTGTTTCTATTTGACGTTGACTCTGCTTATGCATAATACGTTTTTCATACTTTACGAATCATTTCCTTATCTGGGAAGTGTGAAACCAACTATCTTGGTATGATTTTCCTAGTTTTGTGGCTGTGTTTTATAATCAGTTGAATTACTTTTTAAAATGTTAGCTACATTAATTTCTTTGTATGCTGTGGCTTTCTGAACAGTTTAAAGAGCAGGATACATCATTGCAGCTGGAATTGTTTTCTTGATTTAAACACTGCAAATTAAAAAAGTTGGGGCATATTTTTGAAAGTTAGGTTAATGCAAATATCAAGTATTTAATCATGTAACTTTTTAAATAGGTTGTTTTCTCATAGATATCCCAGATTAATCCGTACAGGGAAATACAACTAGAAAGTCCAAGGGTTTTTTTCGAGCTGTGGAGGCTTGGTCTGTGCGACATGAGGGGAAGGGGACCCCGAGTGGCTGCAACTTACAACTCCCAGGTTCAAATAATCAGCTGTAAGCGTCGGCGCCGCGAAGGTTTCCTGCCAAGCCAGCCAGACGGTGATGGTCAGGAACATTTCCCAGGAACCCCACTCTGCCTGGTGGCCACAGTCCACAGCAGCATCCCTCCTAGTCCTGCGCCGTCTCCCGCTGCTGCTCCCAGGGCGGGAGCCAACGCCGGGCCCCAGCGATCTGTGGGGGACAGAGGCGACGGGCGGCATCCGAGCGCGCTGCCGCCTCCTCCCCGGGCTCCAACTTTCCCGGCTCCCTGAACTGCGGGGCCCGAAGCAACTTCCCACCCCCCGCCCCCAGCTCCCGCTGCCGCAGCACGGGGGAAGTGCCCAGCCGGGGGTGCACGGGCTGGAGAGGGTGGGAGCTGGGAATGTTGGAGCCCGGGGAGGAGGCGGCGGTGCACTCGGATGCCGCCCGTCGCCTCTGTCCCCCGCAGATCACCGGGGCCCAGCGTTGGTTCCTGCCCTGGGAGTGGCAGCGGGAGGTGGCGCAGGACTAGGAGGGATGCTGCTGTGGACCATGTAAAAAAAAATTTTGGGGCACCGCTTTTTGGCGCCCCCAAATCTTGGTGCTCTAGGCGGCCGCCTAGTTGGCCTAGTGGTTACACCGGCCCTGGTGAGACCCACTCCAGCCCCTTCCCGGGAGCCTGTCGGATCCAGTTCATACTGTGGTTGCTGAAGGTGAACCCGGAGGCTTTGCAGGAGAGGCGGAGAGAGTCTCCGGGCTTTTTCACATCCCCTCCAGACTCCACCAGCACCTGGGACCTGGGAATAGAACCATATCATACATCACATTAGTATTCAGAGCAGTAACAGACTGTTCCCCTGCCACGCCAATGGGTGTGAGGGGAGAAAATATCTTCCAGAGCCACTGCAAGGAACACTACATGGAGCCATGGAATGGCTGAGCCATTACAAACATTGAATCTATCTCCCCTTGTAAGTATTCTCACACTTCTTATCAAACTGTCTGTACTGGGCTACCTTGATTATCACTTCAAAAGTTTTTTTTCCACTTACTTAATTGGCCTCTCGGAGTTGGTAAGACAACTCCCACCTGTTCATGCTTTCTGTATGTGTGTATATATATCTCCTCAATATATGTTCCACTCTATATGCATCCGAAGAAGTGGGCTGTAGTCCACGAAAGCTTATGCTCTAATAAATTTGTTCGTCTCTAAGGTGCCACAAGTACTCCTGTTCTTTTTACATGGAGCCAAAGCGTCATTTTCCCGGGTGCTGGAGGGGAAAGTTCTCAGGGGGAGTTGGCTGGTTGACATTGGGTTACTCGAATGTAATACCCCGGGGATATGGGAAAACAAATGCACTAACCAAAGCTATGAACATGGGCACTCTCCTTTGGTGAAATGTGTAGCTGAACTGTGATTTACAAAACCCCGAAGGAGGGCTGGGTTCTCACTTCCCAATCATTTCACAGATTTTGTTTGTGACCAAATCCTGGCTTTGAACATCCCGGCCTTATGTATGGGAGGAGGAGAAAATCCTCTCGAGTGTTTCTGGGTCCACTTTATATGAAATATTTCTCCCAGTATTACATTTTGTTGCCCCCATGTGGTTACAGACTTGCTTTAGCTTGATGTAATTTTGAAGAGGTTTTTTACTCTTGTCAGCCAGAATATATCCATCGACGTTTCTTTGCAGGGCCGGCTCTAGCATTTTTGCCGCCCCAGGCAGCGCAAAAAAAAAAAAAAGCTGGGATCGGGATCGGCGGCACCTCTACCGCTGTTTCATTCTACAGCGGCATTCGGCGGCAGGTCCTTCACTCCCAGAGGGAGTGACGGCCCTGCCGCCAAATTGCCGCTGAAGGGCTGGATGTGCCGCCCCCCTCTTCATTGGCCGCCCCAAGCACCTGCTTGCTAGGCTGGTGCTGGAGCCGGCCCTGTTTCTTTGAAGGCTGATTTAGATTTTAAAAGTGACTCTGGGAATTTTTATTAAACCCTGGAAAATCTCTCTCCCTTTCTCTTTCTAAACACACATTTTCTCTTTCCCTTTCCCTCTTGTTTATGTGTCTGTCACCTCTGTAATCTGGCAGGTTAGGATCCCAGAGCCATCCTTGTTATGGTAGCAGAGGAAGAAGGTTTTATCTGAACCCACAGAAGAGGTGTGGTGCAGGAGATCGGACTAGATGTTCATTTCTCGGTTTAGAACGTGTGACTCAAAGAAGTCCTGTTCAGTTTGCTCTGTGTGTACAGACGTCTTTCTCTCTGCTGTCTGAATTAACAGACGAACAAAGAAATTACAAGCACAGCCAACAATGAGAACTTGCCTAGTAGTTGGCCACCTAGGTGAATTTCAAAGCCAATTAATGGAGCTGGAAACTCAAATTGTGCATCTAACTCCCTTAGGAAGTTTGGAAAATCTTCTTAGTCTTTAGCCAGTGAAAACTTCTCTTGGTGCTGTGCCTGGGAGTTTTTGCACTGCTGAGCTCATGACAATGGTGATGAATGGAGAGAGAGAGATTTGGGGCTGCAGAAAGGGGGGGGGTAGTTTGGAAAGTGTCTGCGGGATCTCAGGCTTTAAGCAGAAGGCTGGATTTGCAGGATTTTGTTTCAAATGCACAAAGAGGGACTAGATGGGCTTATGGTTCAAGCCCCGGAGCCAGGGCTGGTCTGCACACAAACGTACAGCGAAATAACGACATCCTCTGTTGAATTCACACCTTCCAAAAGTGCAGTAAGGTTGAAGCGGGACACACTTTGAATTGGGAATGTGGGATCCAGTGGCGAAGGGAGGTTTTAGCAGCAGGGGGAGCGAACACATAAAGAAAGGTGCCACCCCCCCGCAAAGAAAAAAGAAAAAAAGAAAAAGAAAAACCCCGACTGACCCCCTGCCGAAGTACTGCTGAAGACCCGGAGCGGATCTGGAGCAGGGCTTTTGAAGCAAGCTGGGCTCTGCTTGGCCCATGACTTTGCAGCTATTCCTCAGCCTCCCTGGTGAGCTGGGAACATAGGAGCTCATTAGTGACCCCAGCTGGGTGTAATGGGGCTTCATTAGAAACCCTGAGCCCAGCTGTGGTGGTGAAGGAGGGTGAGCATTGCTTCACTGGAGCTGGGAGCTCAGTAGTGGGAGAGTGAGCTCGAAGGCCATGAAGTGTGGAAGTCTAGTTTAAGTGGCACTTGGACTCCCAGTGGGAAAACCCTAGGGACTGAACTGAAGTGAAGCCCAGGAGATGGGAAGGTCCTTTGGTTCAGAGCTGCCCCCTGGGACTGAACAGCAGTGGGACTTGGGCTGAGGCCCAGTGGGAGAACCTGGAGAAGACATTGTCTAGGACTGGCCCTTGCAGCTGAGAATGGACCACCAGATGGGTGTAAAAGGAAAAGTCCCCTGTCATTCCCCATCTGGGCAGGTGGGGCTGCCCTAGAGGTAAGGATGCACGTGTAGAGGAGAATTATGTGCTTGTTAGTGGGATCTGCAAAAGCCAGCACTCTGAGTGGGGAGCTGCCTCACCTACCCCCTAGGAAATGCTGAGGAGGGTTTAGGTCCTAAATCCCACCCCTTAAAGGGAGTTAGGTGCTTAACTCCAGTTGGGATTCACAGCTCTTCTGGAGTTAGGTGCCTCAGCTGTTACTTAAAAAGACCCCCCAAATGCCTTGTGCCAGAGAAGGAGTTAGTGGTGCTTCTGTTAACTCTTATCCTAGTGATTAGAGCACTTGCCTAAGACATGATAGAGCCAGGTTTATTTCCCCTCTCTGCCTGATGTGGGGACAGGCATTTGAGCCCACGTTTTCCACTGTCCAGCTGAGTGTCACATTGGGGGGGCATACCCCCCATTCTCTTTCAGGCCTAATGAGTATTAATGTATTCCCTGTGGAACAGCTTCAACAGGAGAGATTGAAAGACCCTCCCCAAAGTAGCCCATAGCCAGTTTTGCTGCTGTGACAGATGACTGTCACAGGAGCTTAATTCATATTGAGAAAAGTGACTTAGGAGCCAGAAAAAATCTATAAAGAGCAACAGAGGGTCCTGTGGCACCTTTGAGACTAACAGAAGTATTGGGAGCATAAGCTTTCGTGGGTAAGAACCTCACTTCTTCAGATGCAAGAAAAAATCTACTTACCATAAGGTTTGAATGAGTTAGGAACCTAAGATGTTGTAGTGGAAATTACACATGGTCTGTTTATATGGGCAAATGCTCTCTGGGGTGACTAAAGGCTCCAGTGTTAGCAGGACACCTGGGTTCTCTCACTGGAGGGTTTTTGAATTGGTCTAGATGTGGCTTGTGTCACTGTGTGTGCCGAGCACAGTAATACGTGGCTGTGTCGTCGGTTCTCAGGCTGCCCAGCTGTAGATAGGTCGTGCTTATGGAGTTGTCCCTGGTGATGGTGAATCGCCCCTGGAAGGCCTGGGCATAGACTGTGCCACCAGTGCTGGGATAGATAAGTCCGATCCACTCCAGTCCTTTCCCAGGAGTTTGCCGTAGCCAGTTAATGGTATAGCCGGTAAAGGTGTAGCCGGAGGTTTTGCACGTCACCCTCACAGACTCTCCAGGCTTTTTGTTTTCTGCCCCAGACTGGGTCAGCTGGATCTGGGAGCTGACACCTGATAATAAATAAGCATAAAACCACAGTTAATAGCATTCTTGTCTTCCTCTTCTCAGGTTTATCCAAGTCCTTCTGTTTCCCTCCTCCCAACAGTATCTGATCTGCTTGTATGTAATAACAAATTTATTTGCACCGCACTCCTGGGAAGTACAGTTATCCCCATTTTTCAGAGGCAAAACTGAAGCATAAACTCAGCCTGAGATTTTTCAATGCTGTCTAAGGGATTTTGACACTTTTTTCCCATTAGAGATTAATGAGAATTGGGTATCAAAATCCCCTGTGGCTTTAAAATTCCATCCTATCTGATTTGTTCAGAACTCTAGAAATTAGAATCCAGAATTCCTGAATCCATCTCCTCTGTCTTAGCCTTAAAACCATCTTCCCTGTCCTAGCCCAGCCGACCTAACCAGACACCTGTAGGTTCCTTCCACTCACCTGAGAAAGCTGCCAAAATGAAAAAGACCCCCAGACAGATCATTTTCATTCTCTGCAACAACCTGGTGGGTCCTTCCTCTGCTGACAGCTCTTCGGTGAAAGTTGCCTGCTCGCCTTTATCACTCAGTTTTCCTACTTCATTTGCATGTGGGCGTTGATAAATGATCTGACTAAACCTCAGATTCACCTGCCTTTACGGATAACTGACCTCAGAGTTCACAGGGACACAGTCGTGGAGGATGCTGGAACAAGTTAATTCAATTTCGTCCCCAATCCAGGAAAACACTAAAGCCACTTTGACATCGGGGGAGGTTTACGGAGTACTGGTAAACTCATGTGTTAAGGTGCCCAATATTGGGAAATCGAAATGTAACAGCCAGTTGCATATGAAACTGAAATAACACAATCTGCCAATCCCAGCCTATATTTATCGGGGCCTGGGTATTTAAAATATTGAGGCAAATAAAGAAGCAGATAGGTGCTCTTAAACATCCTGCTAAGTACCTAACTTCTATTGAAATCTATGAGGGTTAGGCACCCATCGCAGAGTTTCATCGCTAGGATAAATTCGTGTTTGAGGTGCTGCTGTGCTGGGTTGATGGGGTTTGTGTAACGATTCAGATGGAAAAAGTGGATTCAGCCCTTGAGGGTGAGCTCAGACTGGTGAATTTCCACCTGTCGTGTCACGGATAGAAAAGGTTTCAGGCTCATATTGTTTGTTACAATAACACCAAGAGGACCCAGCTGAGTTTAAGGCCTCGCACCTGTGAGACCATCCTGTGCACAAAGCTCTTACAGCCGAGGGCTGAGATTGTTTTCAAAGCCTCCTAAGGGATTTGGATGCCAAAAATTAATAAGTATTAAAAATCCAGATCCTTTATTCGGCTTTGAAAATCCCAACCTCAATAAGGAAAGGGGGGCAGGGAGAAATAGAGGCACAGCTCATGGAAGGGACTTGCCCAACAACAGGTGAGTGACTGACCCAGGAAAAAATCCCTGTCTCCTGACTCCCAATCCAGTCGCGTAACCACTAGTGCACACAGTGGAGTTTCAAAGAGCCGACTGCTTTTAGTACAGTTAAGTGAGTTCAAGTTATAACATTTGCATTTCCTTGTGTATTGGGGGTGTGTGTGTGTGTGGGGGGGGTGTTCCACAGAGTATTTAATATTCATTCAAAAGAAAAAGAATTTAGAATTCAGATTGTTCTTGTGAAATGGTGTTCTCATGTGACAGACAATCACAGGATCCTGGGAAATGACCAATGGTTTTTCTTTTGCACATAGCGCACTGATAGCCAGAGCTTTTCTAGTGCTTCAGTCAGTGCAGCTCTAGGGTGTTTCTCTGGGTATTGGCTTTGGTGTCTACCACCGTCCCCACCTCTGCACAGTGCTACAAATCCAGACAGAAACATGCAGCTGGGCAAACTGCTGTGTGACTCTTGCGCAATCTTCCTCTTTCCCTTCCTGTGTCAGCTTCTGAATGTGCAACAAGGAAATTGAGCAGAACACAGTTTAGCCGACACATCCCTTGGCTCGCACCACTTCCCACCGCCCCCATTGGCCTCGGACGGTGAACCTCAGCCAGTGGGAGTCGCGATCGGCCGAACCTGTGGACGCGGCAGGTAAACAAACTGAGCCACGTGCCAAAGGTTGCTAAAGGTTGCCGACCCCTGCTTTATCCCTTTTTTAATGATTCCTAACATCCTGTTTGCTTTTTTGACTGCTGCTGCACACTGCGTGGACATCTTCAGAGAACTATCCACAATGACCCCAAGATCTCTTTCCTGATTTGTTGTAGCTAAATTAGCCCCCATCGTATTGTATGTATAGTTAGTTACTTTTTCCAAGGTGCATTACTTTACATTTATCCATGTTAAATTTCATTTGCCATTTTGTTGCCCAATCACTTACTTTTGTGAGATCTTTTTGAAGTTCTTTACAGTCTGCTTTGGTCTTAACTATCTTGAGCAGTTTAGTATCATCTGCAAACTTTGCCACCTCACTGTTTACCCCTTTCTCCAAATCATTTATGAATAAGTTGAATAGGATTGGTCCTAGGACTGACCCTTGGGGAACACCACTAGTTACCCCTCTCCATTCTGAGAATTTACCATTTATTCCTACCCTTTGTTCCCTGTCTTTAAACCAGTTCTCAATCCCTGAAAGGATCTTCCCTCTTATCCCAGGACAACTTAATTTAGGTAAGAGCCTTTGGTGAGAGACCTTGTCAAAGGTTTTCTGGAAATCTAAGTACACTATGTCCACTGGATCCCCCTTGTCCACATGTTTGCTGACCCCTTCAAAGAACTCTAATAGATTAGTAAGACATGATTTCCCTTTACAGAAACCATGTTGACTTTTGCCCAACAATTTTTGTTCTTCTGCGATGTTCAATAAGCCTTATATAGAGAATTTCGACTCCTGGTTCCTGCTGCCCCAGAGGCTCCCAGGTGCCCAGGGGTGTGTGGTTTCCTCTACAGATAGTTTTTTCATGACTCTGACAGGGTTTTCTTTCACTGTGCTTCTCGCACAGTAATACACGGCGGTGTCTTCGCTTTTCAGCCCACGGATCTCCACATAGGCTGTGCTGATGGTGTTGTCTCTGGAGAGGGTGAATCACCCTTTAAATTTGGAGGCATAGTCAATTCCTCCAGAATTCGGGTTAATCCGTCCTATCCACTCCAGCCCTTCACGGATATCCTGGCGAATCCAAGACAGCAAGTGATTAATAAAGCTGTACCCAGATGGTTTACAGGACAGCTTCACTGACTCTCCAGGTGTTTTAATCTCAGCACCAGGCTGGACCAGTTAGATTTGGAACCAGACACCTGCAGATAAGGGACAATAATTCATGAGAATGACTCCCCTTCTTGTTGGCTCCCCTTTCTCCTACTTATCCCAGATCTCTCTGGAATTCACCTACCTGGGAAGGCTGCCAGCAAGAACAGAAAATTTAGCAAACATTTCATGTTTGGTTCTGTCCATGCCCTCCGCCTGGCAAAGCAAAGCGATTCCTTTTGCTGGTGATTTTCTCCCATTGCTGTTTTTAAAGAAGAGGTTAATTACTTTATTTGCATATTCAACATCCAAGACACCATAAAAGCTCCAAGGAGCTGAATGGGAATCAGTATGCATAAAATATGCTTGGTTCTGGCATCTGTCCTTCGTCTTGTTTTCAGAACTCATTGGAATTTATTTTTAATGATATCTGCTGCAGGAGAAGGCCCCTATTATATTGTGAGCAGTTTATCTATGTAAAACATTCAAAATGGGACTTAAGAAAAAGAATTCAGATTTTAAAGGAAACGCATAACGGATGTAGAGGCTGAACTTTCCTGAGCTGTCCAAGGGATTTGGATACCCAGTTCCCATTCAAATCAATGGGGACTTGACGTGGATATAACTATACAATATCCGTGTGCCAAGCAGGCCTCCGGTATAATCTGAAAACAAGGGATCTAAAGAACAGACCTGGCCTCTCCTCCTGCTTTTCCATGGGACCTGCTGGTTGATGTAGGGTGGTCACTTCACCTCTCTGAGCCTCTGCTCGTGTCTGGCTTGTCTAGTTAGATTGTGAACCCCTCAGAGCTAGAACTGCCTGTCCCCATGGGGAAGAGCAGTACCCAGCACTATGGGCCCCTGAGCTCCATTAGGGTGTGTGAGACAGACCCCCACAGTGTGTCAGCACAGCTATCGAACTGATATCTAAACAGACTGGGATATTTGAGACCTACTGAGTGGATTTGTGTAGCCGGGTCCCATTGATTGAAATGGTATTTTGGGTTTCAAATCTCAGCCCAAAAGAGTCATTTGCAGACAGACGTGCTGGCTGTGATTTCCAAAGGTGCAGAGGAAAACGAACCGGACTTGGACTGCTGAGGCAGTGAGATGTTATGAAAATCCCACACCAAGTCCCATTTGATTTTTATTTGGATTTTGGTGCCTAATTCCCTTAATCTTCATTGACAATTCTGGCCATTCTCTGCCCTGAGAAGTGTGAAACTTCAGTGAAGGCTCCAGTCTCCTCACCTCTGATGTCCTTTTACTGGGCTAGACTGTGTACCCTCTACTCACTTACACCAATAGTCCCCTGAATACCTAAGGGGTTTAGGGACCACCACCAGGTACTCACCTGCCCGCCACAGAAGTGGTGGGGAAAATAAAGACGGAGATGGAATAGATCTATTAAAAATGCCCAGGTGTTTATTTCACTAGGATTTCCCTTCCGTTGCTCTGAGTGCCACTTACCCCATAAGTGTTCAGGGCTCAGTGAGAGTCAAGTCTTTGTCCCTCTGAGGTGTCCGTGTTCTCTGTAAGAAGGGAAGCCCCAGCCTGTGAGCCCAGAGTCAGTGTGATGTCTTGGGGCTGCCTCTCTGCACTGGGGCAGCACATAGTGACCCGGGGTTCTTTTCAGCACCTCCTCCTCCCCCACTCTGCCCTCCCCTTTCCCCAGGGCTCACTGTCCGCCCACCAGGGTTGGCTCTAGGTTTTTTGCTGTCCCAAGCAAAAAAAATTTTGGCTGCCCCCCCACAGCCCTGGTCTCTCTCTCCCCCCACCCACTGCACCCTCCTGCCGCCCCAGCCCTGGGTCACTGGTAACTCGCTCCCAGGGCGGGTCATTCAGCAGGAATTTTGGATGTGCACAGAACACAGACAGGATTGGTT